TGAGTTTCAGATACATGTATCAAATCAAAGCCATCCTTTTAATTTCATTTCAGTATAACCTAGTGGATGTGGGTTCAAACTATTGCAACTAGAATTCAAACTGGCAAGGTGCCCAAAATTCTCAAGCATTACATAATCTAGCACCAACTAACAGCCCAGTAGGGCTACTCAAATTCCCACAGAGTCAAGGGGAAGACTTGGGAGAGGAAACATAGCTCCATCTGTTTGTTCTGATTCCCAAGTTACCAGACAGTCTTGGTAAGGATAGGATCAACAGCAGTAAGTTGGCCTGTACCATCCTTTTCTTCTTTCAAAAGTGACTTCCTGAACAAAGTCAATATAAGAAAAGACTACAGACTGGTAGCTCAGGAAGATTTTAAAATCTGATTTATAGAGTTCTGTAAACTACTGAAAAAAGGAGCTAGGTTTTAGTTTTGATAAATATGCCTACACATCAGCAGGCCAAGTATACCTTGCTTAAACTTTTTTTTTCTTAAAGCTACAAATTTGACTAGGAGACTATAAGTTGTACTAAAGGCCATGAAAAAACTCAGAGAGGTTCATTAGAGGAAAATATTTACACATATAATGGAACACATTTTATTGTGGAACAAGCCTAAAACTGCTTATGGGATACTGACAGGGTTCTGGCCCAAGCCAGACCTTTGTCCCTTACCTCAAAAAGAATTTGGGTCCCATTTGTCTACCGGCCCTAGAAACTCTCAAGGAAGTCTTTAGCATTCACTTGAGGCTATAATCCTACCACCTGGCCTTTCACTGTGTCTACTCCCAATCTCCCAGTTCTCTGTTACCCTTAACCTAACCCAGCCCTTCATAGTCTCTTACCTCCCTATGGCATCCCCACTACTTTCCACCATTGATTCTATCTAGACCCCATTCTCAACCTCCCAGTTACTCTCATCAAGACCCTCCCTAGACCCCTCCTCCAGTCACCCCAGTCTATTGTCCACTCCCATTAATATCTTCCCTAGACCCCTCCAGTCACCCAAGACTACTTGGCCACTCCTAGATTCCTCCCACAGTCTTTCTGTATATAAGGTCCATATTGTCTCCCATAAGGCACTCAAATTCTTTAAGAGTCTAGCCAAGGGATCAGATTCTTCAAATCTAACCAACAGCTCACAAATGTTCAGATTCCTTAAGAGTCTGGCCAATATGGCAGATCTTTAATAAACCAGTCTGGCTGAAAGAAGGCTTGGGTTGAATTCACTGGAGCAGACCCGAGTGTCGCTATTTCGGGGTTCTAGTACCTCTAAACCTCAACCAGTATGTTTATGCCTAAAAGTCCTTTTAGATATGTAATTACATTTTTGTTAATATTATTTCACCTGAAGTCTGTCATATCCAAATCCATAACTCTATAACAGGGTTCTACTATAAAAACTACCTAAAAGCCAAAATATTAATTACATGGCACAACTGCCATCAATTTTCAAGAGTTAAAATTACATGGCCAATTTTAATCAAAACATGAAGTGCTGATCTCAGCAACATTATATTTCATTATCAAAAAAACTTTTATTTGGTATTAAACCTCTCCATTCTTAAAAAGTATAGATTTAAATATAGTTTTTATGAAGTTTAAAATAAGACAACTACAAAAAGATTTAAAGATTAAAAAAAAACAATTAAATCATGTCCTTTCCTCAACAGAAGGCAGAGTGTTGCAGTGGAATGAAAAGAAGGTGGATGGAGAGCAGGCTTCAGAGATAGGAAAGCCTGGGTTCAAGTCCTGCCTGAGAAATACTAGGTGTTCAACTTTTGGCAAGTCAATCTCTCAGTGCTTAAGCAATTCCCTCAGATGGTAAACTGAGAGGAGCAGACCTGCAATGGTAGGCAGAGTTTCCTTATACAATATTTCCCTATACCAGTGAATTCAAAGGTCCAGGCCATATCCCTATATTATCTTTCCTATTCCAGAGTTCCCCAGGTTCAAGTAGGGCTAAACTACTTATTATTTTGCCCTATATTACTTCTATCCACCCCAAACCTACAACAACAAAGAAAGACAAACACATAGAAAGAAGTTAACTTTTTGATCTAGTGAGCATATGAGCTTTAAAAGAAAATTTTAGATCTAGTAAATAGCACCAGAAGATGCGACATCAGCTTACAGTCTCATTAAATTATAGAGCTGGAAAGGATCCTACAGGTTTATTTAGTCCAGCACCTCCAATATGCAGATGAAAAAACTGAGGCTCTGATAAATAAAGGGCCTTTTTCAAGATTACACATCTAGTTAAGGACAGAGCCAGGCAAATAAGACTAATACAAATACCATTTATCAGGGTATGTAATAAGTATATTATTACCCAAAATGGCAGGCAAGCATATTACTGTAACTTCATAAACTCACCTGTTATTTCTTTTTTAAAAAACATTTTTTTATTTTTTCAGCTGTTATTTCAATATTAAATGGTAGATATTAGCTTTCAAAATACTCTATTCAGGGGCAGCTAGGTGGCGCAGTGGATAGAGCACTGGCCCTGAAGTCAGGAGGACTTGAGTTCAAATGCGGCCTCAGACCAAACACCTGACACTAGCTGTGTGACCCTGGGCAAGTCACTTAACCCCAACTGCCTAAAAACAAACAAACAAAAATACTCCATTCATCTATACAAACAATGAACTATGTTATCCAAAATGATTAACTGAACAGTCTATCACACATGACAGTATTCTCAAACACATATACAAGTTTATTTGATCACATAATATATATTAGGTATTGCCATCATAATAATGTCTTCAGTTTAAAAAAAAAAAGCTTTGCTCAAAAAGTTATATAGGATTAAGAGGTGTCATTCAAACTAATGTTATATTCAAAATGTTTATTCTAATGGTCTGAAGCGTATGCCCACATTCACCTACTAGAGATTAAGAAACTTTCTCATTGAAGATGTGGGAAAAGTGGAACACTAATACATTGTTGGTGGAGTTGTGAAATGATCCAACCATTCTGAAGAACAATTTGGAACTATGCCCAAAGGGCTACCAAAATGTGCATACCCTTTGATACAGCAATAGCACTTCTAGGGCTATATCCCAAAGAGATCAAACAAATGGGAAATGGACCTACATGTACAAAAATATTCATAGCAGCTCTTTTTGTGGTGGCAAAGAATTGGAAATTGAGAGGATGCCCATCAATTGGGGAATGGCTGAGCAAGTTGTGGTATATGAATGTAATGGAATACCATTGTGCTATAAGAAATGATGAACAGGCTGACTTCAGAAAAACCTGGAAAGACTTATATGGTCTGATGCTGAGTGAAGTGAGCAGAACCAAGAGGACTTTAACAGCCACATTATTCAATGACTAAGACTGTTAAACTGAACCCTTCTCAGCATTACGAGGATCTAAGACATCTCCAGAGGCCTCAGGATGGAATATGCTGTCCACATTCAAAGAAAGAACTATGGAAGTTGAATCGCTATCACTTATTTTTACCTTCTGTTGAGTTTTGTTTTATCTTTCTGATGGTTCCTCCTATTGGTTTTAATTTTTACTTATAACTTCACTAATGTGAACATATGCTTAATGGGTATGTAAATGTAAAGCCTCTATCAGACTGTATGCCGTCTTGGGCAGAGGGGGGAGGAAGGGGGAGAAAAATTTTCAACTCAAAAGCATATGAAAATGATTGTTGATAAATCAAAATAAATTAATTTTTAAAAAAACTTTCTCATGTTATGTTGCTTAGTCTAAGGCAAGTATTTCCAAGGCACTGAAACATGACTCATGTAGATAATATGGGGAATGGATAATGAAGCTTCAGGAAAAGACTAAGTCAAATAATGCCCGGAATTTCAAACACTGCCAAGAGTAGTTTTTGCTTTTGGATAAATTTACCTACTTCCCAGTAAATAACACGTCAATGCAACCACAGTCTTTTTTTTTAACCGTGAGCTTCTTATAAAATCACTGAAACATGTTTTAAGCCCAAGTTTCTAAAATGGTAAATAAATCTACCTCAAAATAATATGTGTGTGTGTGTGTGTGTGTGTGTGTGTGTGTGTGACAGAGAGAGAGAGAGAGAGAGAGAGAGAGAGAGAGAGAGAGAGAGAGAGAGAGAGAGAGAGAGAGAGAGAGAGAGAGAGAGAGAGATTGTGTCACAGCCTGTGGCAAAAAAAAAAAAAACCCTCCAACTCCACAAACTAAAATCAGGTGCTTTATGTCTCTGGACCAATATCAAGCATTCCTAGCCTTTAATAGGCAATTGGTTGCCCCCCTCCCTGCCTTCCCCCCACCCTACCCCCAGCATGAGAGACTCTGATCCTTCAAAGAGCCCCAGCATCTGGCCTTTCAAGACTCCAGGCTGGTACCCAGGCTCACTGTGCACTGAGTCTCCAAGAACCAAAATGAAATGCCTGTTCACTGACTCGTGATCAGCCTCATCCACCCCCACCCCACTCGCCAAAAAAAAAAAATCAGAAAATGCCCACCTAATCCACTTACTGGCATCTCCCCCTCCTCACCCGGTCTAAAAATGGGCCGCAAACCCCTCCCCTTGGGGGAGGCGAAGACAAGAGCCCCATGCCCAAGCAGGAGGGCAGCGCCAATACCCGGCGGCAAGCCGGGCACGGGCAGGGGCGCGGGGGAAGGACACTGCTCCTGGCGGGGCGGGAGAGGGCGAGCCCCTCGACAGGCTCCTTCTGGTGACAACATCCCCCGGCCTCCCGCCCCCGCCCGGCAGACGCGAGGTGACCCCGATGCCCAGGCGGGCTCAGCACACGCGTCTCCTCCCGCACCAGCAAAAGACCAAGGTCCGGCCGGAGAAGGGGTCACGACGGCCACAACTCCCCTCTCCCCAGCAGGCGGCGTGGGGGCGGAGGGCGGGGCGGGAATGGGGTGACCGCGCCCCCAGGCCTGAAATCCCCAGCCGGTGGCCCCGGGCCGGGCAGGACCGCCGGCTCGCGCCCGCAGGGCCCGGGACCCCGGACGCCCGCAGCCCGCCCCTCGCTCGCTCGCTCTCTACCTTTGGCCTCGCAGTCGGCGCAATACTTGTTGTCCTCCTCCCGAAGCAGCTTGGACAGGATCAGCTGGTGCTGCTCATTCAGCTTCTGAGCCTTCTCCCGGCACGAGCGCGTCGCCATTGCGGGGGACCGGGACGGGCAGAGCAGGGCAGAGCCTAGCCGAAGGCTGGGGCTGCGGGGAGGCTGCCGGGGCCGAACGCACCAGGCAGCGCCAGGAGCTAGCCCGAGAGGCAGCGGCAGCGGCACAAGCAGAGGCACCAGAGGCGGCAGCGGCAGCAGCAGCGCCGACGTGTCTCCGCCTCCTCGCAGCACGCCGGGCCCGCACGCACTGCCCGAGCCGGCACCGGGAGGGAGGGAGGAGGAAAGGAGGAAAGGAGGCGAGAGCTGACTTCCGGGCCGTTCTAAAGGAAGAAAGCCGGCTCCCCGCACCCTCCCAAAGCCGGCTGGGCTCACTGCGCACGCGCAGGGGTCCCCAGGCTCCACCGGGGCTGCGCTCTCCTAGCGAGCATGCGCAAAGGCCTTCTTCAGGGATTCTAGTCATTCCCCTTCCCTGCCCCCAGGGTCATTGGGCAGGATATTTAGTACTGGGATTAGATTTGTAGTTGTTCAATCGTGTCTGACTCCTCCTCACCGTTTAGGGTTTTCTTGGCTAAGATACTGGAGTGGTTTGCCATTTCCTTCTCCAGCTCATTTTACAGGTGAGGAAACTAAGGCAAACAGGATTAAGTCACTTGCCCAGGGTCACACAGCTACTCAGTGTCTGAGGTGAGATTTGAACTCAGGAAAATGAGGATTCTTAACTCTAGGTCAGTGTTTCCGTTTGGCCAGCTACCTGCCTCGTTTTAGGTTTGGAACATATGTAATCTGAGTTTATCAATCAAGCAACAGGACCTTATTGAGCACCTACTGTGTTTTACAGAATAATAAAAAAAAATTGTATATGAAAAGAAACCATAGACCCGTGAGTCAGAAGTCTTAGATTCAACAGTAATCAATTTTCTGCTCTTTAAAATTGGCATAGTTAGAACTTACTATACTGACCCCATAGAGTTTCAGTGAAAAAAAAATACCTTGGAAAGCATTAGAGAAGTGAGCTAGTATTATTTTTGAATTATCAAAATATGTGAAGTTTCCAGGTGCAAAATTGAGTATAACTATGAAATTCAAATTCCAGAGTCTAGTTGATTACATGAGATTGACTTTGATAGTTAATTTCCTCCACATTTTAGTAAAGCTAGAACTGGAATGGACTCCCCCAAACCATTTAAAGACAATTCTCACTTTACATAAATTCACATTATGCAAATTCAACTTTATATAAAGAATTCTGAAAGACATCCACATTCCAAAAAAAAACTTTACTGTACAGTACTGTGCTCTCTCTCCTTTCCTGCCCCTCTGCTCCATGATCCACAGCCTCCTACACCTCCACCCAAAAAAACTTCAAACCCTCCAAGTGAAAGCAGAAGAATAGACTCAGAGAGACCTGGGTCTCTGCTGGACTTGGGGCTTGGCTTGAGACTTTGGGCTCCAAGAAAGGAGACCTTTGCCTCACTCAGCCCACCCACATGTCTGTCTTCCATCCTTCCTAGCTTGGACCCATTCACGTTTCTTCTCTTGCTTCTCTGTCCCAGGCTCCCATATGGCCCCCTTCCTGCCTCCCTCCCTTCCCCATATCTTCAAGCAAATTTGTAGTTAATAAAAATCAGTTTACTAGACTATGTAAAGATCTACTTATGTAAAGCAAAAACTATCTATACTCCCATCTTCTCTTTTTACAGATAAGGAAACTGATCAAAGGATCATAAATTTAGAATAAGCCATGGAGCCCACCTAGTACAACCTCCTCATTTTGCACATAATGAGACTGAGCCACTAGATAGATGAAGTGACTTTCTAAAGACCACATAGCTACTGAGAGACAGAGATAGGATCTGAACCTGTCATGTGACTCTGGATCCAGTATGATGTTTCTTTATGAGTGACTATGGCCAAGACATTATCACCTGATGATCAACCACCAGGTGATGGCCAAACTTAGCTAGGCTAGTCCTCAGTCAATAGACATTTATTAAATGCCTACTATGTACCAGACACTGTGCTAAGAACTGTAGCTTCAAAGAAAGGCAAAAGACAGTCCCTGTTGTGAACTGTGGAGGTAACAAGTGAACAATTATCTATGAGCAAGCTACATACAGGATATGTGGAGGTAACAAGTGAACAATTATCTATGAGCAAGCTACATACAGGATAAGTTGGAAATAATCAACAGAAGGAAGACATTAGAATTAAGGGAATCCTGAAAGGGTTTCTGTAGCAGGTGGAATTCTAACTGGGACCTGAAGGAAGCCAGGAGACTGAGATGAGGAGAGAAAGTGTTCCCAGGCATGGGAGACAGCCAGTTAAAATTGTCCAGAGTGAGAAAATAGAGAGTCTTCAAAGAACAGCAAGGAGGCCAAACCACAAAGCAAGCCTTCAGGCAGCTAGTATACTGGAAAAAGTGCTAGATTTTTAAGTTAGAGGACCTAGGTTCAAATCCCAGCTCTGCCATTTATTACCTGAGTGACTCTGGGCAAGTCACTTAACAGTAAAGTCCTGGGAATCAATTTTCTCATCTATAAAATAAGGGGAAAAGTAGATTAGATGACTTCTAAAGTCCCTTCAAACTCTAACTCTATAATACTTTTCAGCTAGAAAGTATCTGCCAGAGCTTGCTTGTACAGAGAACCAGGGTCAGTTATTAGGCCGACAGGAAACATTACATTTAAGTGGAAAGATTGATTGTACATGGAGCAAAATGAGCTGAAATTAGTTATAGTGAAATGAAATTCTCCTTTCATGCCTGTTCTGAAATGAGAATGGAGATAATGTATGTATGTACAGAGCTCACTAGTGTGACACTTAAAAATTTCAATAGAAATAATTTATGGGTAATCAATCTTTTTATTAATAATGCTAAAATATTATTAATAAAAGGATGGTCATTTGGCCATGGCTTGTATACCAAAGACAATTCATGGAACCCATTCAGTGTTTATATGCCCTTGGAAAAGTGGGTGTTCTTGAGGGTGGAAATCAACTCTGGCCAACAATTAATGAGAGAAAATGAATATGATAATGAGAGGGGGGGGACATATTCTGATTAGGGGCTGGGCATGTGACTTTTGTGTATTTACTTCCAAAACAACCCCAGCCTTGGGCAATCTAATCAAATAATTTAACCCTACAAAAACCTAAATAGGACATAATGGGCAGGAATTCACCTAGATAAGATGGTCTAGGGGGAGTTAATTTTTGGCAGAGGTCAGTAATGTCCTTCAAAGGCTGGGCTTCAAACAAGGAAATAAGACATGGGAAAAGCCTGGATGTCCCCCATAATTAGTCATTAACAATCATTTCTCTCACTACAACTAGAGTCAGGAAAACCTGGGCTTGAACCTCAAGCATTGAGTAGCTATGTGACACTGGACAAGACACTTAATTTTTCTGGGCTTCAGTTTCTTCATCTGTAAAATGAGAAGGTGGCGCTTAATGAGCTCAAAAATACCTTACACCTTTAAATCTGTGATTCTATGAACTCAGTATAATTATTTTTAGGGAAGGCTTTCCTATAGGAGACAAACCAAAGTGGACTTTTACTCCCAGCCTTTTAGATGGCCATCAAACTCGGTACTGCCAATGAGGTGTGTTCTGCTATGGTAGGAATAGAGACGAGATGTCCTCCTGAACTTGGCTCCCATTCCTAACCTTTAAGAGCAGCCAAGCCCTCTCCTCCCCAGGGCTTATGAACCACACTAGTGCTTCTACCCCACTTTCCACCTTCTTAACAAACCAGTAACATTTAACACAGCAAACAGTATTTGATTTAGGGAGAAACGAGACAAAGGAAAAAAAGACAACCTGCTTAGAAAACTTCTGTACTCTATGTTCAAGTGGGAGAGTAAAGTGAAACCTGAAAACTTGAATTATCTGCCTTCTTTGTGACTTCCCAGTTGCATTTTATAGAATCACAGAGTTGGAAGGTACCTCAACACAGCCACCTAAAAAAAATCATATTCAAAAAAGAAGCCCAGGTACAACATATCTTACAAGTAGACAGCCAGCCAGCCTTGCCCTGAAAAGCTGCAGTGAGGGAGGGAATCTCCTGAGTCAGCTTGTTTCACTTTTGGCATCTCTAATTTCAAGAAAGTTTTTCTTCCCATCCAGCCTTACTGTGGTCAATCATTTCCTGTCTCTCCTGAAAACTCACCCTCCTTGACCCTTGTGATCTGCATCTTCTGACTCCCTCCCCTCTATACCCTACAGTGGCTCCTCTTCCTTCTTCCTCCTACACCCTAACTGGAGGTATTTAATCCATCAGTCAAAATGCATGTATTAAGTGCTTAATGCATGCCAGACACTGTGCCAAATTCTGAGGATACACAGAAAGACAAAAATAGCCCTTCCCTCTAATGGCAGAGGCAACCTATTAATGACTAGATAGATACAAATATATGTGGGGAGCAGATGGGCGATAATCTCAAAGATGAAGACACTAGCAACTAGGAAGACCTAGACACCACCTCTTAAAGAAGGGCAATGGTTCTCCTCTGGCTTTTGTGCCTTTAGCTTCAGTGAACTCTAGTCCAAATCCTCCATTTAAAGACTCAACAATTCAATAAATATTTATCAAGCATTTACTGTGTGCCAGACGCTGGGGACATAGAGTCAAAAATGAAACATTCCCTTACCTCAAGGAGGTTATATTTTACATGTGAAGTATAATCTGTAAGCAAATAAATGGTTAAGTGATTTCCCCAAGGTCTACAAGTTCAGTGCACTTTTCACTATCACCACCTTGCCTTTCTCGAATGATGGTGCCTAGCCACAGTACTGATTTTTCCCACAATATCAAGTCATTTCTGTTCAAGTCAAATATTTATTAAGTAGCTACTAGTTTCTTAACTCTGTAAAATGAGCTAGAGAAGGAAATGACAAACCACTCCAGAATATCTGCCAAAAAAAAAACAAAACCCAAATGGAGTCACAAAGAGTCAGGCATGACTGAAATTACTCAATAACAACTATGTGTTGAGCACTATGCTAAATGCTACAGAAGACACAGAATTTAAATAAAACAGTCCTTACCTGACTGGAGCCTATAGCCTAGTAGACATATATACAGTGGACACCAGCAGATTACAATATTGCTCTTTGAATCCTCCACCGTTACTTCAACATCTCCAAAACTGAACCAATCATCATGATGGAAGCAACTACGTGAAACAGTGGACAGAGTACCTGCAGTCAGGAAGACACTCAAGTTTAAAATCCAGCCTCAGATGCTTACTAGCTATGTGAACCTGGCCAAGTCTCTTACTTTCTATTTGCCTTAGTTTCTTCACCTGCAAAATGGTGATTCAAACAGCACCTAATTCTCAGGGTTGCCATGGGCACTCAAATGAGATGATATTTGTAAAGTACTTAACACAGTGTCTAGTGCATGGTAAGCACTATTTAATGTTTATTCCCTTCCCTTCCCTTAAGCTCAGTTGAACAAGAATTTAGTAAGCAGTTGCTACGCCCAAGGTTGCTATTTGTTCTTCATTTTTGAAGAGGACCAATGATATCATGATGGGTGACATCTTGACTCCCTCATGAGTTAGATTTAAGTGAGTCAGCGTTGTACAAAGCTGTCAGCCTCACTCTCTTCTAGAATCATCAAAGTCCAGTGGCAGGACAAAAATCAAGATGACTACTAACAACCTAGGACACCAGGAAAGGTTTTTCAATCTTATGTACTAACTGAATTGAGTATTGAGAGAAATCCTGGAGTCAAGAAGACTTCAGTTCAAATCCAGCCTGGGGTGTGGTGGATGACCTTGGTGTCTTTGATATCTGACCAAGGTCTAAGCGCTCCAAGGTACCAATTTCAGACGCTTTAATGGCCACTGGAATAAATTGTTCTCATCCATCATTCTGCCAGAGGATGTCTTTCCATGCTGGGGGTAGACATTTCCCTAACCCACCAACAGTTTGGAGGGACCGTCAGTTACCTTCAAACTAGTTTAGCCCATCTGCTGAGATGGTTTATCAGGGTGTGGTTCCTACATATGCTATAGGTTCTTGGAGCCACAGATGAGATGGGGGAAAGGTAGACACCAAAGGTGTATGAGCAGCCCTGAAAAGAGCTCAGCAAGCCCTCATATCAGAAGTGCTTAGTCCTTAGTAGCAGGTGTTGGAAGGGTGGGGGGAGATAAAGACAAAACAAAACAAAACCGTCCCTTTCCTCAAGGAGTTATATTCTTCCAGGAGAATAATGTAAATGCCCTGTAATCTGAAGAGAGGAAAGAGTACTAACAACCTAGGACATCAGGAAAGGTTTTTCAATCTTATGTACTGAGTTGAGTATTGAGAGAAATCCTGGAGTCAAGAAGACTTCAGTTCAAATCCAGCCTCAGATACTATCTGTGTATCCCTGGACAAGTCACTTAACCCGGTTTGCCTCAGTTCCTCCCCTATAGAATGAGCTGGAAAAGGAAATAGCAAACCATTCCAGTATTTTTGCCACGAAAACCCCAAATGGGGTCATGAAGAATCAGACCGAACTGAAACAACTAAACAAACAAGAAACAAAATGAGAATAATTATTTCACAAAGTTTCTGTGAGGATCAACTGAAATAATCTATACAAGGCTTTTCGCAAACTTTGAAGTCCTATATAAACATACTTTATTTATTATTACTGTTGAAGGAAACTAAGTATCCTAAGAGAAAGAGGCATACTCACTCCAAACTAACGTAAACACCTAACCAGCATAGCCCAGAACCCTTGGAGATCCATCAGCCCCAGCTTCCCAGGCAGCTGAGATTACAGGTATCTGCCACCACACCTGGTCTCCAAAAAGACCTTAAAAGCTGAAATATTAGATTAAGTCTAATAAGGTGAAATTCAATGGGTATAAATGCAAATCCTTACAGTTAGGGTTAAAAAAAATCACCTTCCTAAGTATAAGAAGGAAGAGCCATAGTTAGTAGTTTCTCTGAAAAAAGATCTGGGTGATTTGGTGGACTATAAACTCAATAGGAGTCAACAGTGTGAACAGCCAAAAAAGGTAATGAAATTTTGAGCTGCAATGAAAAACATAGCTTCTAAGAATAAGGTGACAATTCCTCTATACCCTGCTTTGGTCAGAACAAATCTAGAGTGTTTGGTTCAGTTCTAGGTGCCACCACTTAGTTTTTGTTATCGTTGAGTTGTTTTTAGTCATGTCCAACTCTTTGTGACCCTATTTGGGGTTTTCTTGGCAAAAATACTGAAGGAGTTTGCCATTTCCTTCTCCAGTTCATTTTACAGATGAGGAAACTGAGGCAAACAGGGTTAAGTGACTTGCCCAGGGTCACACAGCTAGTAAGTGTCTGAGGCCAGATTTAAACTCAGGACGATGAGTCTTCCTGACTCAAGGCTCCACGCTGTATCCACTGTGCCACCTAGCTGCCCACCATTTAGTTAGTACTTTAATAATCTGGAGCACAGGGAGTACAGGCCAAGACCCTGCTGAACTTTCCCAACATTCTCCTCAAAAGAACTTCAAAATAATGCTTTAAATCAAATTTTGGAGCATCAGGGCCAACAGAAGGTCAGAATGAGACATTTTTCCAGCCTAAGACAACTTAGGAGGTCAACAGGAGAGATCTGTGAAAGAGAGGAAAAGGGGAAACAAAGCCTTGGGCTCCCAAGAAACCAGTGGTGGGCTGGCTTCCAGAGCCCTCAGGCCAGAGACATTCTGGATTGCAGTTCAAGGGCAAACAAGAGTGCTGGTGATTGGTCATAAGGGAACAGAGGACCTGGTCATGGTCACAGAGCTGAGAGGAAAGCTAGCACTTGTGGCTGAAGGAGAGCAGGGGTTCTTTCTGGGTAAAGACCAGAGCATAAACCAGGTGAACTGTGACCACCTCTCTTCCCAGATCACACCACTCTGGAAGTATTGAAAACTTGCAAACCACCAGAGCTATATTGCTGAAAATAGCAACATAAAAAAGCTTGAAGTTTGGCAGTGTCTCCTCACCCCCAGGTGAGCCAGGCCCAACTTTTAAAAAGTTCAAAGTCAAAAAATAGGCTAGGAAAATGAGCCAAAAAACAATAACAACAACAACACCTTGACCATAAAAGGCAACCATGGTATCAGGGAAGACCAAGGCATAAATTTAGAAGACCAACAACATAAAAACAGCTATAAGCAAAGCCTCAAAGACAAAATGCTAATTAGACCTAAGGCACTAAGAATTCCTAGAAGAATTAAAGAAAGAGATAAGAGTAGTAGAGAAAAAATTGGGAAAAGAAATTAATATGATGCAACATATTATGAAAAGAGAATTAACAGCTTGGTAAAAGAGGCACAAAAAATGCTAAAGAAAATAACATTGTAAAAAAACAGAATTGACTTAATGCTAAAAGAGGCCCGACAATTTGCTGAAGAACTCCTTTAAAAGTAGAATTGGCCAAATGAGAAGAAAAGGTCACTGAAGAAAATAATTCCTTAAAAATTAGAATTGGGCAAGTGGGAGCTAATAACTCCATGAGACTTCAAGAAACAAAACAAAAGTCAAAAGAATGAAGAAATAGGACAAAATGTGAAATGTCTCATCGGAAAAACAACTGACCTGGAAAATAAATTGAGGAGAGATAATTTAAGAATTACTGGACTGCCTTAAATATATAATCAAAAAAATTGCCTAGACATTACACTTCAAAAAATTATCAAGAAAAAACTGCACTGATATCTTGGATTCAGAAAGTAAAATAGAAATAGAAGAGAATACACTGACCACCTCCTGAAACAGATCCCAAAATGAAAACTCCTAGTAATATTATAGCCAAATTCCAGAGCTCCTAGTTCAAGGAGAAAATACTACAAGCAGCCAGAAAGAAACAATTCGGATATTATGGAGTCGAAGTCAGGATCACACAAGATTTAGCAGCTTTCACGGTAAGAAGCAGAGGTATTAGAATATTATGTTCTGGAAGGCAAATGAGCTAGGATTACAACCAAGAATAACCTACCCAGCAAACCTGAGTATAGTCCTTCAGGGGGAAAAAAATGGATTTAATGAAATAGAAGACGTTTAAGCATTCTTGATGAAAAAACCTGAGCTGAATAGAAAATTTGACTTTTAAATATAAGATTCAAGAGAAGCATAAAAAGGTAAACATGAAAGAATAACCATAAGAGACTCAATAAATTAAACTGCTTACATCCTTAAAAAACCAAACAAACAAATAAGTAATCTGGAGCACAGATGGAGGAGGGTAACCAATATGATGAAGGTCCCCAAGGCCTAACTATATGAGGATTAGTTAAACAAACTGAGGGTGCTTAAACTACAGAAAAGGAAGACTGGGGTTGAGGGTAGAGAACATGATATAGCTATTTTCACATATATAAAGAACTATCATATGAAGAAGATGGTGACTGTTTTCAAATATTTGAAGGGTTATCATATAGAAGAGGGATTAGATTTATCCTGTTTATTCCAAGTTGGATGGAAGAACCAGAAGCAATAAGTAGAAGTTCCAAGGAGGGAAATTATAGGCTTGACCTCAGAAAAATTACAGTTGGAGAGATCCAAAATTAGAATGGGCTAACTCAAGAGGTAGTGGGATCTCCATAACTGGAAGGCTTCAAGTAGAGGCTAGCTAACCTCTTTTTGATAATGTTACTGTGGGCATTTGGGAGGTGAGGTAGGGTGTGAGTTGGCAAGCCACTTAAACTCTCTGTGGCTCACTACTCATTTCACAGGGTTGTTATTGTTTAAAAGGTGCCTATTGTAAATTGTCAAACACACACACACACATACACACACATATGTGTGTGTGTGTGTGTATATATATATATATATATCAGTAATTAATACTCTTCCTGTTGAATATCCCCTCTCAAATCTAAGTTCTTGATTAAGCTTTCCTCCACCTATACAGATTTCTCCCTTCTTTGGATTTCTACACTCAAACCATACAATTTTGCAATCTGCTCCCTGTTATTGTTCAATAATTCTCTCATTGGAGGTCATCATCTATCTCTATGTATTTCTTGATAGCACGAGTTATGTTTTGTTTTTTATCCATGTATTGGGTATGTTGTATAAATACTTGATCACCCAGGAAAATGAATGAATGAATGAATGAATGAATGAATGAATGAATGAATCATTTATTAAGCTGACTGTGTGTATAGCACTGTTCTAAATGCTGGAGATATAAAAAGAAAAAGACATTCCCCACTGTCAAGGAGCTCACATTCTAATGGGGAGACAGCATGTAGGGAAGGGAAGGGAAAAGTCCTAGATGCAAAGCAGATGATCATACCTCTTCTTTAATGTCATTTCTGTTGATAAAACACATTGATTTCTGATGCTGAATCATTTGATGGGGCCAAGGATTTCAATGGTAAGAACTTTATTTTCTGGTCTTCAGTAACTGTGCTTGTAATAGCACCTGAAGGAACAGCTTCCAGGCTTTATTTCCACAAGGGCTGCTTCCCGGGATGATGGCTGAGGGAACTGAAGAAGGGAAAGGGAAGGGAGTAAGCATTTATTAAGCACCTACTGTGTGCCAAGCATTGTGCTAAGTGCTTTTTACAAATATTATCTCATTTGATCCTCACAACAACCCTGGGAGGTAGGCACTATTTGTAAAATTGCCATTTTACAATTGAGTAAATTGAGGCAAACAGAGGTTAAGTGACCTACCTAGGGTTATACATCTAGTAAGTGTCTGAAACTGGATTTGAACTCAGGCCTTCCTCACACTAGGCTGAACATTTTATCTATTGCACCACCAGCTATTGCTGGGCTAGAAACATTGCTTTTCCCAAGGCTCTTTGCTTCAGTGTCCTGAGCTATCTTCACCAAGTTCTGGGAAGAGATGGTGGCGAAGGTGGTGGCAGTTTGACTTGCCTGTCATATGCTGCCTCCTAACTCTTCTTCAGGGTTCCTTGATGCTTCAGCTAGGCTGCCTTGCCTGCTCTGTGGGTTTCAGTTGTCTGGCAATTGGTGGGAATGACTGGCCCCTTCTTCCCAGGATACTTACTGGCTGAGAGTGGTGAACTAAAGGTAGGACCAGAGGCCTGGATGAAGAGAGAGTAGGGTTTGTCTCCCAATGCTCTTGTGCTCTTCTCTCTGTTGCTGGCAGTTGCTAAACTGTGATTGTTGGTGGTGATGAAGAAGGTGGGCCTCTTCTACTATGATTTCTCCCTTCAGTATTGGCTGGAATATTGGGACCGGGCTGGAAACAGGTCTTTAAGTTTGAGGTACATTGCTATTTCTAAGGCTCTTAGATTCAGGGTCCTGAGCCGTCTCCATCAGGGTCAGAGGGGAGGTGGTGGTGGTGTTTTGCCTTGCCTTACCTCTTATCCCTTGCTCAGGGAAAACATACTTAATAATTATTCACATTCAAAATACAACTTTAGGATTACAAACATACTTTGTATCCCTAAAAGAATGCTATGAGTAAGGAATTAAAAGCATTAAATTCATCCTCATTTATAAATGAGGAAACAGATATGCAACATCATAGAGCTAATAACTGTTAGAGCTAAATCTAGAACCCAGGTCTCCTGTCTCAAGTCCATTACTTTCTTCTGACCACCAAAACAAGAGCTGAGTTCTCAATTCCCATGGTGACTTTCTAAAAGCTACTATGTAGTACCATGGCCAATTTTTTAAAAGAAATTCATGAGAAAAAGCAGCTGTTGGAACCTTTTTAAAGGTGTGAAAGATGTCCTTAAGTGCTTAAATTAAAATATTTTAGAATGTCTCCAGGCCCAAAATAAGCCTTGTCACAGTTCCTGACTGAATGCCATTTCTATTTTCTTTTGTAGCTTTATTTTCTCAAACAGCATTTTACCTTTGGAGACAGAGTTCTGTAGATTCTTAGTAGGGAAGAACAGTGTTTTGGTTACCACTTTTCTAAGGAATTAAAAAAAAATGACCAACATAACAAACTATTTTAAAAGCATTATTTTGAGGCTGCTAACAATGATAGCTCAATGTGATACAGTGGAAACAGAGAACATGGATTTGAAACCTGGCTCTACCACTTGCTACCCGTCTGACCTTAGACAAATCACTAAACCACTTTGGACCTCAGTTTCCTCTGTTGCAAAATAAAGGTGTTAGAGACTTAAGGACCTCTAAGGCCCTTTCTGGTTTTAAATCTTTCAATAAAGGCAGTTTAAAGTTTACATATTGTTTTATGTACCTTATATTATTTGGTCCTCACCACAATCCTGTAAGGTTTTATTATCACCATTTTATATTTGAGAAAATGAAGGTTAAATGACTTGCCTAGAATCTCACAGCTAATATATATCTGAAGCAGGATTTTAACCTAGATTTTCCTAAGTCCAGCCCTTTATACACTAAGCCACTCTGACACTAATATCTAGGAGACATACCTATTATTGACCTCCTGTTATTATAAATAAAAAGAGATTTCTGGGGGAAAAGAAAAATACCAAAATCATCTTCCAGGAAGAGATGGAATCCCTGCTGAAACTATGGATCTGAAGTAATGCTGACCACAAAGTGGCCCCATTCTCAAATGATTACAGGGAACAAGAATCCCATCATAAGGTAATAATGCTGTAGGCCACAGAAGGAGGCATCTAGGTGGCTCAGTGGATAGAGGGCTGGGCCTGAAGTCAAGGAGACCTGAGTTCAAATGTGACCTCAGACACTTACTTGTGTGACTCTGGGGCTCCATTTGTCTTAATCCACTGGAGAAGGAAATGGCAAACAGTTCCATTGTCTTTGCCAAGAAAACCCCATGGCTAGTATTGGCATGCTATGGTCCATGGGGTCATGAAAAGTGGGACATGACTGAACAGCAACAAGGCCATAGAAGAGCAATTTATTTCCTTTTTAGTTTTCTTGTTAGTCTTCAAGTGTTTTCCCTATATACAGTTAATTTGATTAAAATTGGCCAAATGTCCAATCATTTGTCAATACTCATTAGCCCTTTAGCTACTTTCTCAGATTGTTAGTCAAATTCAATTTAGAAAAGACCAACTGTTTCCTTGTAAGCCTCAGTAAGGAAAAGGACAGAAAGTAATTTTATTCATCTGAGCATGGGTCCCCAGTGAGATCTTCTAAGATGAATCTAACATAGAATTTTACTTGGCATTATCTGAACTCTAATGGACCATATCCTACTGTGAGAATGAAGTAATCCAAAGCAGAAATGAAGCATTTTTGCAAAGTATATTCACACTTTCATTCCTCCACCCACCACAGCAAAAACACTGGAATACTTTTGTAGAAATTCTTGACCAAGTATTCAACTGAAAATTGTCTAAGTAAACAATTCCCAGGCGAAAACTAGTCATTTTTTGAAATGTATTCTTTCAGTGCTTTAAATATTACCTTAACTGAAAATCTTAATGCAGTCTCCCTCAACGACCTTTTTTCATCTGGAGTAGTTTATTCAGGGATAAAGAGATATAGCCATGTAGTTTGTCAGAATGCCTTAGACTGGCACATCCCCTAAGATTATTTATTTAGTAGAATCACATAAAACTTGGCCCTTTGCCTTTTTTGTCCAAGAATATCTCAGGTTTCTTCACCTATGGGAAAATAGATTAAAAAGATATATTTCAAAAAAAGAAACAATTCATAAAGGGATTTACTAACAAGTTAGCTTTAGGGTTTTCCCGTCTTCCAAGAATAGTTTTGTTCGTACTAAATTCGAATACACAGTGCTCTTAGTAACAAAGATTCAAATAGATCAGTGACTCATAGTACTGTGTGTATATATGTGTGCTTGTGTGTGAGAGGAAGAGAGAAAAAGAAAGAAAGAAATAGAAAATCACACATTAGCAGATTCAAAAATCAAGAGTTAAATCAATTGTATAGGGCTCATTTGTGAAACAACATATTTTAGAAGTTCTCATTTACCAAACCTCAATTTTAAATCACAGATTAAATATTGGGATGCCTTATACAAAATTTATTTTCCATAAAGATAAAGTAAATGTGTTCTATTTTCCATAGTATGGCTAAATTAAACCTTATAAATTTTATAATGTTTAGGTAAAAGTATTTGAAGACAAATACAATAATTTCCAAGTATTGTTTCCCTTGTAATTCCATTTGTAGTTCTGAAGCATTACAGATAAGATAGGTGATGGGCTGGACCTGAGATTTCATTGGTATACGGAACTTCTGTCTCTGTCAATGATGGTAAGCTTCTTTGCAACCAGCTGTCTTAGAGAGTTGTCTACAGCACTGAGAAAGTTAAGTGACTTGCCCAGGGTCACATTTTCAAAATGTGTCAGCAGCAGAACTTGAGCTCAGAGCCTCCTGCCTTTAAGGACAGCTTTCTATCCACCATGCCAGGTTGTCTCTCACATATTACCAATGTAGTAGAGGAAGTAAAAAGCCCATCAAAAGCTATTTTACTTAAAATATTTTACATTCTGAAGGAGAAGGGCTGGACTAGTACCTTCTACAGTATTATTATTTTTTATTTGCGTAGCATTTTTCCTCCGCAATATGCAAGCTATATTACCAAGAACTTTTAAAATCACAGAACCACAGAATTAGAATGAACATTTGAGGTCATTGAATCCAACTTCCTTTTCCAGTGCAAGCATTCCTTCTATAACCATCTCTTTGACAGGTCAACTGACTTAATGTTTTAAGATTTCTGGTGACAGTAAGCTGTACTTCTAGAAACAGAATCTTTCATTTTTAGGCAGTTTTAGTTAAAAAGGAAGTTCTAATTAATTTGTGTTGACCTAAGAACATTCTATCTGTAACTTCTACTCAGTCGTATCTTTTGCCTTCTCTCACAATTCAATTCCATTAATATTTGTTAATTAGTAAACAAATAAATGGGTATTGAAATTAATTGAATTTGAGCAATATAGAACAGGTCACAGAATATCGCATTTAGATGTAACCACAGAAATTATAGATACCTTATACTGACCAAAAATACCTTCTACACCATTCCCAACTAGTAGCTGTCCAGCCTCTGATTCAAGAGGTATGATCTACTACCTCCTATTCTAGGTTCAAAGAGCTAGTTTTCAGAGGCTGAAGTGACCATTCTCTCCTCTCCATCCCCTATTATTTAGTGTCAAATGCTTTCTAAGTGGGTCATTACAGGATTTGTCAGCAGACCAAAAGAAATGAAAAGACAAACCACACACAAAATTTACATATCCTACAAAAATGCGTTGAAAGCTATAGGAACAGTCAGCTGGGTTTTGGTTAAAAATCAAGAGTTAAGAATACAGCTGCTGTGGTTCTGTCAGATGTTTGCAGATGAGTTATTGATCATTGACAAAGACAGTCCTTATCTAGTCCTATAAATTGAATCTCATGTCGACTATTTGAGGTCACACGAACATCAGCGCCTGCTGCTCAAGCTATGAGATGAAAGCAACACAAAAGGAGAATGTGGTTTTCTTCTTTTTTTTATCCCTGAAAAAGTCCCATCTCTGTCATATGTTGGTGAAGCCTCTTCAGTGTTCCAGCTTCTCAAGAGTCCTAGATCAATGACTGGTTAAGACAGGAGTAAGTTATATATTGGATTGAAATGTTTGATCTTTAACTTCACATAAGGTCTTTTGGCTGAGGTCCATCCATGAGACCCTTTTGATGATGAATGGGTCACAAAACAACTCCCTTTCTTGTCCAAATATTTATTATCACAGGGTCATAACTTTGGGATGTTTGGAAAAGGAGCCTCACAGCTCAGGATTGCAAAAAGCCAAAAAACAAAAAAAGGAAAAGGAAAAGAGGAGGTGTCAGGGAACCCATGGGACATTAAGTCTACCAATTGCTTGTATGCATTACTTAACTCAATTCATGTAAGCTAGCCTCCAGACTTTAAAATGTGTTACATTGGTGTAGTAAATAGCTTAATCATTCACTCTGAATTTTTGTTCAGTCCTTCATACATGCAAACCTGGAAGGTCTGCACTTATGAGATGGGCCGAATCAGATATATGACCCAGATCCAGAAGAGCCACCAACTACACCTCCTAAGACAACTCATTCCATTGTTTTTTTAGTAACTCTAGTTGTTTTGAAGTGTCTCTATATATCAAGGGGCAGCTAGGTGGTACAGTGAATAGAGTGTTGGGCCTGGGATCAGAAAGACTCATTTTCCTGAGTTCAAATCTGGCCTCAGACACTTACTAGTTGAGTCACCCTGGGCAAGTTTTCCTCATCTATAAAATGAGCCAGAGAAGGAAATGGCAAACCACTCCAGTAACTTTGTAAAAAAAATAAAAACAAAAACAAACTCAAATGGGGTCACCAAGAGTCAGACACAACTGGAAAATAACTGAACAACAACAAACTATATCAAGCCAAAAATCTGTCTCAGCAACTTTCATCCATTGTTCTTCATTCGGCCTTCTGGAGAGAAATAGGACAAGCCTAATCACTCTTAAGACAGCTATTAAATATTTGAATGCTGATAATATATACTTCCCCAAGTTCTCTCTTTTCCAGGTGGAGCATCTCTACTTCTTTAAACACATGCTTATACAAAATGGTCACCAGTCCTCTTACCATCCCAGTCATCTTTGTCTAGATGGAGGGCAATCTGTATATATTGCTCTTAAAATGTGGCATCAGAACTGTGGTTCTGACCAAGGCAGAGAACAGGAGAACTATTACCTCTCTTTTTCTGGACACTGTCCCTCTCAATACAGCCTGAGATTAAATTAACTTTTTTGGCTGCCATGTCAAATGGTTAACTCATATTAGGCTTACTTTCCACTAAAACTCTCATATATTTTTCACAAGAATAATCTGATTGTGCCTCTCTCCTATCCAGCATAAGTAAAGAACTTTACAATTTATCCCTATTAAATTTTCATCTTATGAATTCAGTTCATCATTCTAGCCTCTTGAGATATTTTTGGATCCTGGCTGTCATCCAATGTACTAGCTATTCTTCTCAGCCTCATGTCATCTGCAGGTTTAACAAGTCTTCCTTCTATGCATTCATCCAAGTCATCAATAAAAATGTTGAGCAGCATAGTACAAATAGATCCCTAGGGCACTCCACTAAAGACCTCTCTTAGAGTTGACATCAGTCCATTAATGACTATTTTATGGGTCTGCTCATTCAGTCAATTCACTAAATTCTAACTGTGCTATCATCTTCTTGTTTGTGGAGATTAAATGAGACTTTTTTTTTAAAAGTACTCTACTAAAATCTAGGCATATTAAGAAAGGCAGTGATGTATAGTGAAAAGATTGCTGGACTTGAAGTCAAAGACCCTGGGTTCAAACTCCAATTCTGCTACTAACTAAATATGTGGCTTTGGCCAAGTTGCATAATATCTCTGGGCCTCAGTTTTTTCATTTGTAAAATGACTAGATGACAACTTTTCAACTCCAAATCTAACATCCTTTGTTTACAGCACTTCCCTGACCCCATTGCTTGACGTGATTAAACCATGTTAGCCTTAAGTAATCACTGATCCCCTCCCTAAATGCTTACAAATCATCTTTTCAGTAATTTGTCTTTTAGTTTGGCAAGGGATAGAATCCAAGCTCACTAACCTATACTTTGTAGATTCCCCCTTCTTCCCCTTCGTGAAAAATGAAACAATGGCCTTTGTCCAGTTCTGCAGTATTTTCCCCATCCTCCAAGATCTTTCAAAGGTTACCGACAACAGCTCAGCAATCATATCTTCCAATTCTTTCAGTACCCTAGAAAGCAATTAATCTAGGCATAGTAACTTGAACTCATTGAGGTTAACTAGATACTGTTATACTATCCACTACCACCATTACCTTGTGTTTCCTATTGCTGCTAACTGGTTTTGTTCTATCCTCCCTAGTCTTAAGTTCCTTCTTTTTAGCAGAGAAGACAGAATCAAATGGAAAAAAGAGCTGATTAGTTTATCCTCATCATCACCCATCATCTGTATCCCATCTCTGTTGATTCTGTCATTCTTATCTTGTCCCCTGAAAAGCAAAACGAGTTACCTTTTGTTGTTCTTAGCATTCATAGCAGCCAGAACCTGCAGCCTAGAGGGTCATATGTGGCCTTGAGGTCACAGGTTCCCCACCCATATGGGCTTAACCCATTCCAGAAACTGTAGCCTCTGATCTAACCAGCTCAGGACCCTCTTGGATCTAGATCAATTTGTGAGAGAGTGTCTGTCATTCACCACTTGATTCTCCTTTTCCTGAGCCAGTTAGAAGAGGATCAACTTCTAAAATTAACTCAGGTTTAAGTAATCAGTTGTTTACTAAGTCAAGAGATCTAGGCAAGGAAAGGAATTAAGAGAAAAACATGGTAATGAGGCATAACCTTGAGTCTCTTTTTGCAATTGGAATAAGGGGCTTGGAGCTCAAATATATAAACAATCTTGGCTTCCCTGGTTGTTCCTATCAGCTTGTTTTAGGGAAAAGAAAAGGAGAGAGGAAGAGAGAAGGGGGAAAAGAGATGAAAAAAAAAAAGAGAGGAAGTGAGTGCTCCAACATCTAAAGTCACTGCGATGTCATGCTTCTCTACTACATTTCTAGTATTTCTCATAATCTTTACTTAACTCCTTCTATCCATA